AACTGGGCAATGTTAAGTAAATGCAAGTTTTTTTTAAGTAGCCAGTGATGTCAATTTAGTATTTTGTTTGCGTTGAATATTGTCTCATAAATATCAACCTGTCTATTGTTTGATTTTTTTATGTAAAAAAATAATTTTTAAAAATTGTAACGTCTGTCTGTTTATTAGTTTAATTACCTTATGTGCTTGATAATGCCAGTTTAAGATAATTAGTAATACAATGAGCATATGTAGTTATAAATCCTAATAAGTGGAAATATTAACTGAAGATTACCTTTTAAACAAAAACTCTCCCCATGGATCATGTGAGGTTCTTCTCAAAGTGATGGCCAAATTCCTAAACTTCTATTTTCTTTCTACTGCCAGACCAGTCATGTCAAACTAAGATAAAACAGTGGACCCAAGTGCTAAATCTTCATGTGGGCTGCATATTTTCTAATATGGATTGCATTTGGTCTATTGAGGGCTGTACCAACCTAATTCCCCAAAAAAAGAAATAGAAAATTATGGTACTTTGCAATTTAACATTATAGTAAAAACTGCAAATTACAATATTTATTCCCAGAGAAAGGGAAGAGTCATGAAAAATGTCCTGAACACCTTTTACCACTGAGGGCCACATGTGGTCCTTTAAACTCCAGTTTGACATGTACATGTTTGTGGTAGACCTACCTAGTGGGTACAATCTGTGGAACATATACAACTTGGAATGACTGTATTATATTTCAAGACTAAACAGATTTTGAAGTTTAACAACCAAAACATTAAAGTAGTTGTAGTGTGAACACTATGCCTGTACAGCTTGAGAAAAGATCTTATCTAAACAGCTTTAGATTAGAAAGTTACTTTTTAATCTAGTATAACACTGTATTTTATTGACCTCATGCGATGTTTTACTGAAGGTCTGCAACCAAATAAAGATTTGCATAGTAAATAGCTGGGCTCTCTTGACAGTCTTTTCTAATCTTCCCCAAATGTGTTTCACCACTGTGCAATAGAAGTAAAAACATTAACTATGTAAATAAGTTGATCAAGCTACAAATACACTTCAAGCTTGTAAAACGTCATGTTTAGCTGAACTTAATTATCCATGTTAATTAATATTGAACCATTGGGACTTTCATTTCACTATAGCTTTTTTTTTGTCTTGCATTTATACTGCATTTGTGTTTCTGTCTTGTGTTCTAATTAAGTGTGATCCTTTTTAGGGAATAAATAAAATAACTAGATAAAAAACATATGTTACATATAAACGGATTACTTAAATCTTATAAGCAAAGAATATTGATTCAGAGAATTTAGCCAAAAGGTAACCTTGCAGAGATGCAGTTAATGTATGACCTTAACAGTTGCGATGTTTGCCTCAAAGTCAGAAACATGACTATTAGTTAATCCTGGCTTCCTTTCCTTTTTTCTTCACCTTAAAGAGTAGGTATTTCTTAAAACAGAAACTGCTTGGCTTGGTTTGACTATTTGCTTATATTTTGACAACTATAGATGAGTGGCTTGGATTGGATGAATTGGTTAACAATCAGTGTCATTTGCACATGGTTGTAAATCAAAGGAACAAGTATTTTTGTTTTCTAAATTAACCATTCATGATCATATGTATAAGAATGTATGCGTTGCATATGTATGTATGTATGTATGTAGTAGTCTCATAGGTATTTAGCACCTTTTCAATTGATTTATAAGTTCATCTGTTCATCACAACAATACTTTAGGCAAACTAGTAAATGCTTAAAGATAATCTTTCACTCACATACTTTTATGTGATACAGATGGGAGGGCATTACCAAGATGGTGGTCATGGGTCTGTTTTATATGGGTCATTAATACCTGAAGTAGTGAGTGGTTTACTTAAGAGGTAGAGGATTTGGACATATTGGGTTTATCCTATGCATCAGAGATGAAAAAGATCTAGATCTGGGCTTTACAGCTGCTATGTGTTTAGATTAGTGCTATTGAAGGGTATGGGTGTGGTAATCTATGTATTTTATACATTTTCCTCTTGTACCTATGGTAGTATGTGCTGGAGGCAATTCTATATAACACCACAAGAAGATATTAAAACAGACTGAGACCCTCCTCAGATGAATCCCCGTGGCCCCACAAACTTGCAGAGGCATAGTATAGTGTGCTCCCCCCTCTACTCGATGGGATGTGCGCGCCCTTTGGGTGAGTAGAAGCAAACACAACTCATACATTTTTTTAATGATTTATTTGACCATGTAAAAATATACTAGTATACTGTATATATATAATGGATGTTATTGGTGAGGAAACAGTCAAGTAATTAAGTGTTTAGTTTATACTAGATAAATTGGCTCTGGTCCCCTGAGGAAGCACACCAGCAAAATGCATTAGGTGAATAAATGCATGCCACAATTGAAATATGATTGTGAATTAACTGAGAGGAAATATTGGACAATATTGGTCGATTGGTATTCGTATTGTTACCAGATCATAAATGTGGCTGCGGGAGGTTAATTGTAAAGGAGGGGACAAAAATTAATGTGGTTTTATTACTCTAGTTATTGCATGTGAAAAAAACATTTTTATTAAAAAAATCTGTTGGAATCAATAAATTAATACTGATTTTAAACACATTCAATAGTGCGGGCCTGTTAAAACCTCAGATGAATGGTTTTTGGTATTAGGTAAAGATAATCTTTACAAATATGGCAGCTGTCATTACTGACATCTCCTAAAATGCTAGATCCCTTGCTAACTCATGACCCAATAGCTTCAGCAATTTCTGAGTTACTGACCTTGAACTCATATGCTGGTTAGGCATTCTGACTTCACTGTGACTCTAATCTGCATGCAGGTTCTGGATAAGTGACCCAGAAAGTACTGAAGTGAGAGACAGCAAGGCTGATTTACTATAAGCAAATAAGCTCTTACATTTGCATTGAAATTGGAACATTGTTTAGTAAATGTGGGGAAAATTCACTTTGCAGAGAATCCAATCACAAGCAGGGAAAATATGAAGTTTTTCTTGCACATAATTGGAGGATGGAAGTCAGCAGAGCTTCAGCTCATTCACTAAAAAATTCCCACTTTAGATTATTGACACTTTGCCTGACAAAGGGACCTTGTGAGGCTCCGAAACATTACATTCACATGTCATGCTAAAGGAATATGAATAAAGATGATACTCCGGAGCAGAATGGTGTGCAGATAACATATATTTTATATTGGAGAAACTACAAGTCTCATCAGCCACCATGTCAGAGGGACTTGTCGTTCTCAATGTAGTCCATTCTTTCTTTGGCCTGTTCATGTTGCTGAATGTCCATACGTGGATATTCAGCAACATGGATGGGGAAGAATCTGCAGGAGCCAGAGTATTGCACCTGCGATATACTGATCACGGTTCCAGTGCTTAACTTGCTCCAATGCAAAAAAAATGCACTTTTTTTTCTTTTATGAAGAAGTGTGAATTTATAAATTTTTCTCAAAATGTGGACTTTTGGTTTAAGTACATGTGATGGTAATGAGGTCTGGGCACCCCAAAACTAACTCGGAAATCCCATCATCCCCTCAGTTTGTTGAAATTCATCACATTTAGATCTAATTAAATCAGACTGCCTATTTAACAACAGACATGTTTTTTTGATTAGACAGTCTTCAAATTCCAAAGCACATCAGATGCTTATCAGGCCTCTGTTATAGCTCTTTATGACCCACTCCTAATGGGGTACAATATAGCACTAAGTACAGCCAGAACACTTGACAATCCCAGTCAATATACATAGATGGCCTGGACTGATAAGGGCCAATTGACTAGCTGTACAGGCTATAGTGAATAGCCCGTACAGCAGCCCTTTTTTTCTACTGAAGTTCTAGTTTTTTGTTATTTAGTTTTTTTTTTCTTTGTGTTGGGGCGTAGTCAAACAGGATACACCATTACATCAAGTCCTATTTGGCTTTGAAAGTTTTTGGTAAAGTGAATTTTCACCTCATTTATTAAGTTAAGCGAGAATTCACTTTAAAAAGTGAACATGCTCTGCTATTTTAGTAAATCTGAGTCTTTAGCCTTTTAGTTGTTTTGGAAGTCCATAAATGTTATATCTATGCCAGGGATGTGTGGTCAGGGGAGGCAGGTGAGGCAGAGCCTCACCTAGTATTATGAAGAAAAAAGGTGTCAGCTTCA